AGATTCAATGCCCGCTGGCACCAGCACAGCAATGGTAATGAAGCCGGGCTGGCCATCGATTCTTGGCTGCTGCAGAGCAAGCGCGCGGCGCCTGGGCAGCCCAAGGGGAGCAAGGGAATCTTCAGGAGCACCGAGCATTTCTGTTGCAATGTTTGGGGCCACAAGGAGAAGAGGGTTCAGGGTTTAGAGTATTCAGGTTTAGAGTTTTAGGGTTTTAGGATTTTAGGGTTTCAGAGTTTAAGGGTTTAGGGTTTGAGGTGATCAGACTTCCCATGACCTTTCATTCTTGCCACACGAACCTGCGCAGCACTTAAAACCGGGTGTGAGGATTTTGCAAAAACAAGGACAGATTTCTTGCACACATGGCAAGCCCTTGTGAAGCAAGTTTGAAAATGATGGGAAATGAATTCAACCGCAACCCCTAGATGCTGAATTCTCCGCCCCGAATCATAAAGTCATCGAAGCCCACTGAAAGTCATCACCCTAAACCCTAAAAGATTGTCGAGGCTGGTGATGGAGTTGGTAGGCTAGCAACATACCCTAGGTGAAGCCTTTAATACTGACCGCAGGGCACGCAAGGTATGATTGGGGGCAAGGTTTGGGTTTGCGCCCCTCTCGCAACAAGGCGACGCCCTCATTTCAGCACAGGCACCTTCTTGGCTGGGTGTCCATCGCAAGACATCATGGCAAAGGTCAGGAGGTAAATAAATCTGCCCTTTCCTAAGATCGCCTGTGTTACCAGAGCTCCTGAGGGTTATAGGGTGAGATATAATGTTCGGGAGATTACCGGTAGATATTGCCATTGAGAATGATAGTTAAGGGCCGGATGTTAGAGGGTCTTGAAAAATTGCACGCCTTCGGCGCAGCTTGCTGCGCTAAACATCCACATAAATCACATGCACCCTTGGGACAGCTGCGTCTCAATAGAAAGAGCCAATGTCCACAGCGCAAAAGCAATGTTGATGCGAACGCTTGGTTGGTTGCCGACTTCATCTCGAAGATAGGAAGAGCTGACATGCAAGGATCTAAAAGCAACACGCTGGGACCAGTGCGTCTACCTGATGTAGTCGAATAGCAATATGTCACTGCAAATATTTTGCAAACCAGCTCTCTTATCACAAAAGCTTCAAAACACAACATCTGGGACTAGACAATCGCATGTCAATGGTAGGAGTGCCCACATCGAAGGCTCAAAACACTTATTTCATCGCGCACGCTTGGCTGCCGCAAGCCAGCCCTTATCAGAAAACCCTGAAGACTCCTACACTTTCAGGCTATCGCGTATCAATCAGACGCACCAAAATTGAAAGCTGAAAGAACTGCGTAGCTCTGAACGTTTGTTTGGCTGCCGCAAGCCCAGGCCTCTGAACCCTAAACCCTACCCTTAACCCTTAAAGCGCGGCGCAAGAAGCATGCTGCTGTGAACGGTTGGCTGCCACAAGCCAGGCCTCCATCCCTCATTGCCAAAGTCTTTCAAAATCGAATGCTTTGGGATTGCAATGTCTCACTGATACACAGAACCAACATGATANNAAAATCTAAGAACTCCAGTGCATTGGGACTGACTGCTGTGTCCCAATAATAGGAAGAGCCCATGTCGAAGGTTCACAAAGCAACGTCGCAGTGAACGCTAGGCTGCCACAAGCCTAGGCGCCCAGCCCTTCTGGCAGAAATCTCCACAACACACATTATTGTTTATATGATTGTTATTATTTCTATATTATTAAAAAAGTCATTATATTGTTCATATTCTTGTTATTTTTAAGGTGATTAAGGTGTTTTAGGGTTTTTTCGCATGAGCCAAAATGGCCACCAAGACCTTAGGGGCACCAGCCACCTAAGGTCTTTCTTTTGAGCCAAAGTGGTTTAGGGGCAGCTCAAACTTCTGAGCCCTCTTTATGTGGCTGGTTCTGTATATATATATATGTATATATATATAGAGATATTGCCAGGGCTCAGAAGTTTGTTTTTTTCCCACCACGGCTTGAGGCACACGCATGAAATGTCTTGGTGAACATCATATGAGCACCAAGCATCACATGGAGACATGGCCATTCTATTGAGATTGTACAGCGCTGTACGCAACTGTACAAAACAGCACCCATATGCACAGAATTGCTCGGATCTGCAGAAAAAGCGCGCAGCGCAAGAGACAGAGCGCACATCCCACAAAGCAGAGGCGTGAATTTCACAAAAACACCTTTCACGGCCATACTTGTTTTTCGCGCTCAAATCTCTGTCCGCACCACGACCGCCCAAAGTGTGGTCAAAGGCACTCCCAGGGAGCTCACGGAGAACCGCCGCTCGGACGAGCGCATCTTCCGGTTCATCAGCTGGCTTCGGGTAGGGGAAGCCGAGGAGGTGCCGTTGGCCGAGGCGGTGAGGCTGGCGCGGCGCGAGTTCCCGCGGCCGGCGGGCCAGCACCCCAACGTGTGCCTGGTGCTCTCCCACGCCCACCGGGTTCAGATCAACG